CGACAAGGTACGGATATCATAATTAGCATGAGATGTAAAGTCCATAATATGCAAAGTGTTAACTAGATGATATTGTCTGCTTGATCAACAAAAAGTCATTGATAAGGTGTGTTAAGGAAAACCTTCAGGAATAGGTCTTAAAGGAAGTACTTAACAATAATTTCAGTGCAGGTCGACACATGAAAAATGTGTACGGCTGAAGTCGTCAATGGTGATTGGGTATGGACTATGAACCCATTACTGAAAATTGATGCCGTTCACTTGTTATGTAGTGAATTGAAGTCATCTGGAATGTGTTATCAGTGGGAGAACACATTCGTACGGGTGCGGTCAGATTGGTGACAAAAACGTGCGCACGTATGGCCAAGTCACAATCAGACGTCGATTTATGAGGTAATTTCATAGATGAAAGTTGGCATGAGGCAAAATTTTGGTACAAGGTTAAAAATGCTCAACTCAGGTTTATCATCTTATTATGATGTGTTCAAGTGGGAGATGATGGAATAAAGAGTGACCACACCATAAATTGGTGTGACTCACTTCACTGAAACTTCTCTCATTTACAGTGTAATAAACCTTCCCGCAAGACATAGAACAATCTTGAAGTAATTTGGTGTTTGAATTTAAACACAAAGGGACACAATGCTTCATAGCATTGTATCAATTCCCATACATCATGATAACTCTTGGCAAAGGTTATCAAAGCACTTATAAATAGTTGGAGATGTAGTTCTTATACTTTACTTCAATCAAAACCCAGAAAACAGTATACATATATAAACATTCCGTTTGCTTCCGGATTGGCTATTTTGTCTTGCGTGATAAACACCCTCACGAGCTAATCGATCATTACCATTGTTCAGTTTATCTTTCAGTATCATGAGAAAAAAATAATATTTTATTTTAGATTAATATGTGTTAGAAAATGATAGATGTATTATTGATTGATGTATTGATGTTATATATTACAATGATTCATGATTCCTATATATAGAAGAGGGTGAGTGTGTAGTAGGTAAGAAGTAGGTGAAGTGGAGGTGGTAGTGGTGTAGTGGGTTAGGTTTAGTGGAGTAGGTTTAAGTGGGTGAAGTAGGTGGAGAGTAGATGAATTTTAACAATATGTATTGTCCTTATTGATAATTTACATTAAAATATAATAGGAACTCAAATTTTTATTTTTAATTGGACAAACTAAGTTATTGTTGAGGTGCAAAGAGAATCATCCTTTTCTGGGTCGAGCAACTTAAGCCCCAATAGGCCATAAATTGGGCTGCCTTGCCCTCTGGTTATTGGGTGATGGGAATGGGCTGACTGGGTTAGAAAAAGCGTTGGCTAAATAGATGCACATGCATATGTAAAATCTAAGGTTGTTGTGGTAGCGTCTGGTAAAATTTATAGTTTTTTATTTATTGGAAAATATAATATATATTTATATTTATTTTTGATAAAAATAAAAGCAAAAACATTTAAACAAAAATATTTTTAAAGACTTTGTTTTGAAAATAAGTAAAACGGGTGATGAGCAACAAAAGATTGGTGGCAATTGAAGGTAAAGACAGTGTGTGGAGATAATTGATGGCCGGAAGAGTGATTGATTAATTAAGCCAAAATAAAATAATCAATTAAGATAGTGAGATTAGCATGATAGCATGCCTTGGTGGTACTAGAGACTGTGTCATACAAGTCCGGTAGCAGACTAGCTACCAATGCTCAACTTTGATCATTTAACTAGGGGAAATTCTTAGTATGCACGTTCTCTCATATATGATGAAAAGAAAGTTTTGAAGTTTTACAGTAGTTAATGTTATGAATTTTTATCGTGTTAATTATAAATTAATGTGGTGTAATTATGAAAGAGAATTAGTTATGAATTTTTATAATTCTTTTGTAATTTTTTGTGGTGAATAAATTTATGTGTGAAAATTATGTCAGTTTATGATTAATATTACGAATTTTTGTAATGTAATTACGAAAAAAGACACCATATATATCATTTTAAAGATGTTTATTGTAGTCTTTCCCTTTGTGACGACCAATAAAAAAAGAATATATAACTTACAAAGCATATTGTGTACATTTATGTAAAGGCATTCATCTTTACTGTTTCGATGGATGCATCAATATTAATGTATTTTATTTTTATTTTATTTTTGGGTGCGAACATTTGACAAAGTGAGGCATCTTCTGTTCTCTCGATTTCTCAGAGGAGTGGCTCTGATGCATTAAGTTAAAATCTCACAATCAAAGATACATATAATATGGTCAAACCCAAACCAACGGACAAGCTTCCATCAAATATTTGATGACTATATGCATTGGCATTGCTTTCATTTGCTTTGTCATCTTTTATATTTGAGAGATATGATTCCCCCATCATATCTCTTTTCTTTTCTTTTCTTTTCTTTTTTTATTTCCTTTTTTTATTAAATAAATAAATAAAAAACTAGCATGCTGGGGCAGTTGGTTGTAAATTAATATTGAAATTGGATTATTTAACATTTGGACCTTAATTTTACTCTTCAGTCCTCCTCCTGGACCATCAGATTTGGTGTTAACTACTTGGTCCCCTATTCCAATGTCCCCTCCTTTGTCTCATATTTGATATATATATATATATATAATTGCTAAGGTGTCAGTATCAGCGTTTCCATGAGCCATAAGGTGAGGGTGCTGTGGTGTGGCGGCCATCGTGTATGCATCCCACGGTCTTAGTATGCACATAGGTTGCTTGAGGGCACTGTGTTCGTCATCATGCTGCTGCACACACTGACACTGTGGATGGCTATCTGCCAACTTCCAAAGTTCATACACTTTTTGATTCCACAATCTGTTCCAACCCTTCCTTACTGGTCTGCCCAAACTAATTGCTAACAAAAAAAAATACATTAGCCAATTGTCACTGATAGGAATTTGGTTATCATGTTCACAAATCTATATATTTTCAAGAATTGATCACACCATCACCGTGTTGTCGCTGAGTGAAACTGATCACTATTTTATTGTTATATAGCACACAAATAGTTTGATTAATTAACCAAACATCAGCACCACACTTTGTACGATCATTACATAATTAACTACATAAATTTTGACATAAATAGTTATAGATTGGAAAATCAGGAGAAAAAACTGTTTACGTATAACATTATTCTCATAGTTTTTTTTTGGGAGGGGGAGAGGGGGTGTTCAATCAGTAACAGATTAATTACAAACATGAGAAAAATTACATCAAACTAGATAATAAAAATTCTACAACAAACTACAAACTGTTGAATTCACCCCATGTGAAGGGGAAATTGTCTTGTGAACACACCTTGGTTGGTCAACAAGGAAGTAGGCTACCAACCATGTCAAAGAAGGAGGCTGCCGAAGTCAAGCATGGAGGCTACCCAATGGCACTCCCACCTACTCCAAGGTGTATAAAATGGAATGGTGATGGTGAGTTGTAGACAGGGCAAATGGCAAAACACATTGCTGAGAGAAAGGCACAAAACAGAGAGAGCTAGTGAGAGCTATTTTCTGTTTGTCAGAGAGTGTGAGTGAGTGTGTTATATAGAGAGACAGTGAGTTGAGAGTGTGTAATCTCCTCCATTTGTTGATATATAACAACATCGCTCCCGTGGACGTAGGCCGGTTTGCCGAACCACGTTAAAACTCTTGTGTTTTTGCTTGTGAGTGTCCCCTGGTGTGCCCACGATCCGCAACACAAACAACATGCCAAGGCAAACAATCACCAGAAATAACCCAAATTAGGGAAGAAATAAACTATATACAACCCCATACTATGGGGAGGAATAATCAATTTTTTGTCATTAGCAAGGAGTGACTCCCTGATCTACCAGATAGAATTGTACAAAGCCCAATTGGTTTAACATTATTCTTAAAAGTTTAGAGAGGTTTTTTTTTTACATTCGACATAATAAATCATATAGGGAAGAGAATCAAGTCCTCTAATTTTCTTGACATGCAAAAGAATATAAGGGAAGCCTCAAGCAAAGGATCAAACTCTCTTAACCAACCTCAACATCCCCCTCTTGCAGTCAACATTGCTTGCGCACCCCTCCACTTGATCTGATTTGACTGTATTATTATTCAACACAAGCTCTTGTCTTCTATTCACCTCCAAAATATCTCTGATGTGGGTGATGATCATATAATATTGCTTAAACAGATGCGGCATCACTATCCAAACTAATAAGAAACCAACATGAAGATGGTTATTTTTTATATACTTTTTACATGACTAAACAAATTTGTATAAATTTAATAATTTTAACTTCTTCCCAAATCAGGCATTTAATGGTTTATCGGCCAAAAACGTTGCTATCACTATGTCTGTACATATTATATATTAAAGATATAGTAAGTGTGACCCTCCTGTACTCATGGTCTTAGGCGAGCACTTACCTGGCCTACTCCTCGAGCCAACACTAACTGTCTTTTATTATGATTTTACTAACCTCCGAAATATGTTCAATGTGAGGTGATGTAATATTGCTTAAAAAATGCTGCATCGCTGTACAAACTAATTTGAAGAAGATGGTTATTTTAGTATACTTTTACATGAATAAACAAATTTGCATAGATCTTATAACTTTAACTTGCCATCCAAATCAGACATTTAATGGTTACCAATAACGTAACTATCATGATATGGGGTATTAGCTGCCAATGCCATCATGCGGTCCCCAGAAAATCAGAATGAGCGTTGCCTAGATACTGAATTAAGATTTAAAGAATGAGAAAATGATGAATTAAATTTTAGTAAAGATGAATGCCTCATGTTATTCTTATTATTTGACTACTGTAGCAGAGTGTTTCTCATATAGGGTGATGCATATATCTGTCCAATTAGTTAAACAAATGCTGTGCATCATTTCCATCATCAAGCTCATCAATAAACAAGTCAATTAATGATTTGACGTTGAAATGTGCACTGTAGATGTGCAACAAAGTATGAAGGCTTTGGCTTCACCTATTTATTTGACACAAAAAAGTGGTCATTCTTACAATGTGCACTCTTTACGGGTGCATATCATAGATTTTCCCTTTTGTTTATAAAGAGGTTGTGTGGCTAGCTTGAATACCAGGGGCAGGAGAACTTTGTATTTTGAGTCTTGCACCTCAGACTCAGTGTGGAAAGGTAGTAAACAAACCTTTGATATGTAGAGTTTTAATAAGTGAATGAATTTAAATGTTTCACTGCAAAACACCACATTATTATGACTATATGAAAATTCAACTTCTTTATACTATCCATTTTTTTAACTAAAACTCACACTGCTTGGTGAGTTGTAACGTTTATGGGACTTCTGATACCAGTTTATATTTCACTCAATCCTTCATTTTATTGCAGTTAACTAATATTTGCCAACTCTAGTTTTTGTGACTGAGGGTTTAACTTACGAATGCAAATTGCAAGAATTGAGCTATAACAACATGTTAAATTATCACCATTCCCAAAAGCTTAAGCTGTCAGGACTAAAGCTAAACAATTGATATTAAGCCTATCCATCAGAACTGCAAGCCACTTCCCTTGTATTGTAAGTTTCTCGAGTTTCCAAAGTGGCTATAAAGTTGGATTGTTTTCTTTTTTAATTACTCAGGTTTGTTTGGGAATGATATGAATCTTTTGAATTTCCATGATCTTCTATAATTGTTTATCCCTATCATGATGGTCCTATGTAGCTCATCTCCATCCAATCCAATCCAGTCAAATCCAATGTATTTCCTCTTTTGTTTCTTGCATCTGCTTGTTTCATTCATTAAAAGTTTTTTTGTGTGGCTTTTAATGACAAAGCTAGCTACTACCTTTGTGGGTTATCTGTGCAGGCTGTGAGGAATAAATTTGAAGCAGCACCCTGAATTTCAAGTTAAGTTTCTTGCTCCATTCATCTTCTATTTACTTCAGATTATTTGAATTTGAAGAAAAATAACCATACTAAAATCAAGGAGTAACTCTGTTTCATTAATGTTTTTTTCATTTCAATGAACTCAAGAAGCATTCTTGGAAGTACTCATTCATATTCAGATATCTTTAGAATTCAGTTTCTTCTTTCTTAGTAATCTTTCAAAGCTCTACAGTTTCAAAGCTGTGTTTGAATCATGAATTTAAGTGGGTTTTGTGGAGGGAAATGAAAAGTGAATGAAATATAATAAGCTAACAAAATTTCTTTCTCCCCCCCCACTTTTCTCTTCTCTTTTCCTTTCTTTTCACAAATCCCCCGCCAAATCCATGATCCAAACATAGCTTAAAAGTAGGTTGTTGATTCAGATAGCCACTTTTCTTTCACAGCTGTGATTCAAGATATCCAAGGTAGTGACAGCTACCAGTTGGAGAACAAGTACACAAGTCGTCAACAACATGACCAAGGAGAGTGGCTTCAACGAAAATACAAATACAGTGAAGACCTCAGCATCGGCACAACATTCACCACCAGGGATGGAGAGAGAGAAAACCACGAAAAATTCTAGTGGCAGTATACAAGATTCAGACAAGATCCAAAAGGAAAAGGAAGTCACCAATATTGTTCCATTATACAAGCTGTTCTCCTTTGCAGACTTCGCTGACTATGTATTAATGCTTGTGGGAACAATGGCTGCTATTGGAAATGGCATCTGCATGCCTCTTACGTCTGTGCTATTGGGAGAGTTAATTGATTCCTTCGGACAAACTGTGAACACCAAACAAGTGGTCCATCAAGTTTCCAAGGTATCACATAGCTTAAAACAAAATCGTTGCTAATTTTTTGGAACTCTAGTCAATCAAGTTTATGTGTTTGGCTTGCTGCTAACATATAAACCTATCTTCAGGTATCTCTCAAGTATGTTTACTTGGCCCTGGGGTCGGGTTTTGCATCATTTTTCCGTAAGTGCTTTGCATTTTGTGCCAATGTCTAATCTAGTATATCATAATTACATAGTGTATATAGTTTTTTAAACCAAACCAAGAGAAACTGAGAAACTTATATTTGTTATGGAAAGAGGTGGCATGCTGGATGGTCACAGGGGAAAGACAATCTGCGCGTATTAGAAGTTTATACTTGAGAACTATATTGAGACAAGAAATTGGATATTTTGACAAGGAAACTACCACTGGAGAAATCATTAGTCGGATGTCAGGGGATACCTTTCTCATTCAGGATGCCATGGGTGAAAAGGTTTGCTTATGACACTGAAGACCAAAATTATTAGCATTAATCTGTCATTACAAAAATCAAAATGATACTCTTCTCCTCTCCTTACATGTATTTGGTACAGGTTGGAAAGTTCATAGAGCTGGTAGCTTCATTCTTGGGAGGCTTTGTAATAGCTTTGATCAAGGGATGGCTTCTCACCCTTGTCTTGCTATCTTCAGTTCCACCTATTAGCATCTCTGGTGGCATCGTGATTATTATTATAGCAAAGATGACATCCCATGAACAAATAGCATATTCTTTAGCAGGAACTGTGGTTGAACAGACAATTGGCTCAATTAGAACTGTATGTAGAGTTGCTTGAGAAGAATCTAGCATCTCCCCTCTCTCTCTCTCTCTCTCTCTCCCTCCTATTATGGAATTATGTTCATGATGATAAACTTCCCCATTCAGGTTGCATCATTTACAGGGGAGAGGCAAGCTATAAATAAATACAAGAAGTCTCTTCTTAAAGCTTACAAATCTGGTGTGCAAGCGGGTTTGGCTCTTGGTTTGGGTTTTGGTGTATTTATGTTTCTTTTGTGCAGCAGTTATGCTTTGGCAGTTTGGTATGGTGCTGAAATGATAATAGACAAGGGTTATACAGGAGGACGAGTGCTGATTGTTATTTCTGCCGTGTTGACTGGTTCTTTGTGAGTTGCATTTTGCGTCCCCCCTCCCCCCCCCCACCCACCTTTTCTTTTATTCTCTCTTTTTTCCTTTGCTCTTTTTTTTTTCCCTGTCACTCACCAATATGATCTGTTGTGCTTGAAAATTTGATGTTTTGTTATATATTTATGCATCCATTGCAATACTTGCATACCATTTCAATTTTTGCAGTTCTGTGGGGCAAGTATCACCCTGCCTCAGTGCATTTGCCTCTGGACAAGCTGCAGCTTTCAAAATGATTGAGACCATTAATAGGAAGTCAGAGATAGATCCTTACAACACCAATGGACAGAAATTGGATGATATCTGTGGGGATATTGAGTTAAGGGATGTCTATTTTAGTTATCCTGCAAGACAAAATGAGCTTATTTTCAGTGGATTCTCTCTCTCAATACCAAGGGGAGCAACTGTTGCTTTGTTTGGACAAAGTGGAAGTGGAAAGTCAACAGTTATCAACTTGATTGAAAGGTTTTATGATCCTCAAGCTGGTGAAGTTCTTATAGATGGTATCAATGTTAAGGAGTTTCAGCTTAGATGGATCAGAGGAAAAATTGGTCTTGTTAGCCAGGAACCTATGTTGTTCACTTCAAGCATTAGAGATAATATAGCATACGGAAAGGATGGAGCAACCATTGAAGAAATTAAAGTTGCTACTGAGCTTGCCAATGCTGCTAAGTTCATTGATAAACTACCCCAGGTCTATAAACAATAATTCAATCTAGAACATTGAATTGTAAATCCATGTTCCATGAGAAAGGACTTGAATTAAAAATTGGCTCCCCTAAACAGGAATTTTTTTTCACCTTTTTGGTTATTTGAAAAATAAAATAAAATAAAACATCTCTTTCACCTTTCTGCCTTTCTGTTTAATGTATTCAGGGACTAGACACAATGGTTGGTGAGCATGGAATTCAAATGTCTGGAGGTCAGAAGCAGAGAATTGCTATAGCAAGAGCTATTTTGAAAGACCCCAGGATTCTACTTCTTGATGAAGCTACAAGCGCTCTTGATGCCGAATCTGAAAAGATTGTGCAAGAGGCATTGGAAAGGGTTATGGTCAACCGAACAACCATCATTGTAGCCCATCGCTTAGGGACAGTGAAGAATGCAGACATGATTGCTGTAATTCATCGAGGAAAAATTGTTGAAAAAGGTTTTTTTTTTTTTTTTTCCTGCTATTGTCTTAATAGTTATAGCACTCCAAGTGCCTGGCCTTACATATGCTAATGGAAATCCCTTTTAACTCATCAGGTTCGCACTCTGAGTTAGTACAGGATCCAGAAGGTGCATTTTGCCAGTTTTTACGCTTGCAAGAACTTAGCAAAGACTCAGAACAAAAAAATGCAGATGATCAGGATGGACCAGAAATCATTGTGGATTCTGGAAGACATTCAAGTCAGCAAGTGTCCTTCTTAAGATCCTTAAGTCAAGGTTCATCTGGAATTGGCAACAGTAGCCGCCACTCATTCTCCATTTCATTTAGTGTACCTACTGCAATCAACTTCCTCAAGACAACAACTGTAGAACCCACAACTCCTGCTTCAGCAACATTGCAGGCGGTGGTCCCACAAGTCCCACTTCGCCGGTTGGCCTATCTGAACAGGCCAGAAATCCCAATGTTGATTATAGGTTCAGCTGCTGCAGTGATCCATGGTTTAATAATGCCAATTTTTGGACTACTTCTTGCCAGCATAATCAAAATCTTTTACGAGCCACCTCATGAGCTTCGAAAGGATTCAAAATTCTGGGCATCAATGTTTCTTGTACTTGGTGTGGCGGATTTATTGGCAACACCAGTAAAAACATACTTTTTTTCTACGGCAGGATGTAGGTTAATAAAACGTATTCGATTAATGTGCTTTGAGAAACTGGTTCACATGGAGACAAGTTGGTTTGACGAAGCAGAGCACTCAAGTGGTGCAATCAGTGCAAGGCTTTCTGGGGATGCTACCCTTATTACAAATTTGGTTGGAGACTCACTTGCTTTGATTGTTCAGAATGCTGCAACAGTAATTGCTGGCTTGGTTATTGCTTTCCAAGCAAACTGGCTACTGGCTCTTATTATTCTAGTCATGGTGCCTCTAATAGGACTTAACGGATACATTCAGGCAAAGTTCTTGAGTGGATTCAGTGCTGATGCAAAGGTTAGCTCCAAACTCTCAACAGTGCAATATTATTATCTACATGTTAAATCCAATTAGACCAACTTGACTAACGACCAAAGCTGTAAATGCACTCCCAGAAATCATTCGAGGATGCAAGTCAGGTTGCTGGTGATGCAGTTGGGAGTATTAGAACAATTGCTTCTTTCTCTGCTGAAGAGAAGGTGATGCAGCTGTACCAAATGAAATGTGAAGGCCCAATGAAGGCAGGAATAAGACAAGGTTTAGTTTGCGGGGTAAGTCTTGGGTTCGCCATGTTCTCACTGTTTTTAGTCTACGCAGCCAGTTTTTATGCTGGAGCTCGACTTGTTGAGGCTGGCAAGATGGACTTTGCTGCAGTTTTTCAAGTAAAGCCTTCTACAATCTCTTGTATCAAGTCAGTTACACAAATTATTGTTCCAGATTTGCAACATTGAGTATTTTGTGGTACTTGAATAGAAAAATTGGTTTTATGGTTCTTGGCTTCTCTTTTAATTGTTAATCTTGGATTCTTCATCTTGGTTTGCAGGTTTTCTTTGGTCTCACTATGGCAACCGTGAGTATATCGCAATCCGCGGCCCTTGCTCCAGATTTAAGTAGAGCCAACAGTGCTGCTGCTTCTGTCCTTGCTATTCTAGATCAGAAATCAAAAATAGACTCAAGTGATGACTCCGGAACAACATTAGAAAATGTATGGGGGGACATTGAGTTTCAGCATGTCAGTTTCAAGTATGCCACTAGACCTAATATTCAAATTTTTAGGGATCTTTGCTTGACCATTTCCTCTGGCAAGGTAACTTGTCATAATTGATTTTCATATCCAGTATGTACCTCTCTTAAGTTCCAGATGTTGATAAGTTTTCAAATTTGAATATTAAAAATTGACAATTCAAATTTCATTTTATCAGACTGTTGCCCTGGTTGGAGAAAGTGGATGTGGGAAGTCAACAGTAATATCTTTGCTGCAAAGATTTTATGATCCTAATTCAGGTCAGATTACCCTAGATGGAGTTGAAATCAAAAGGCTTAAATTAAAATGGTTAAGACAGCAGATGGGGCTGGTTAGCCAGGAACCTATCTTATTCAACGAAACCATCCGAGCCAACATTTCGTATGGAAAGGCAAGCAGTGCAACAGAGGCAGAAATTATAGCTGCGGCAGAATTGGCAAATGCTCACAAGTTCATTAGTGGTTTACAACAGGTTAAATCCCTACGTACCTACAGTCCTAACTAGTTGTTGAACTTCTGGAGATCGCAAACTTAATTTGAAATTGTAAATCCGAGCAATTTTATCTGTTTAAAATCTGTTTAAACCTATCCATATCCATATCCATAAACGAGTTTAAATGGGTTAATCTTGTGTACCCATTTAAAATTGAGTTTCAATGAGTTGAAATGGGTACCCATTGTGTTCAGGAAAAAAAGAAGAATCAAGCAACGAAGCAAGGAAGCCACCACCAACACCACTAGCAGCACTACCACCCCACCACTACCTCCACCACTAAGGAGCAGCACCACACCACTACCTCTTCTTTTATGACCACTAGCTCCTCCTCCAGCACCACGACGCCACTAGCCCACCTCCTCCATCTCCACCACTACCACCACCTCCACCCGACCACCATCAGCACCTCCTCATAAAGTAAACAGCTTGATTTGTCCAACCCCTACCCAATTCAACCCAACCTACTTAAATCCATTTATTAAATGGGCAAATTTGGGCTGGATTGTATTAATGCATAACCTGTTTTGACTTGCTTGTTTTCTACCTAAACTTAGGTGACATGTGAGTCAGCTAAATAACTTGATCTCCAAGATTTTGAATTGTAGGGGTATGACACGGTCGTTGGAGAGCGAGGGATCCAGTTGTCTGGCGGGCAAAAGCAGCGAGTGGCGATTGCCCGTGCTATAGTGAAATCTCCAAGGATATTACTACTAGATGAGGCTACCAGTGCTCTTGATGCTGAATCTGAGAAGGTGGTTCAAGATGCATTGGATAGAGTTATGGTGGACAGAACCACAGTAGTGGTGGCTCATAGGCTATCCACAATTATAGATGCAGATTTAATAGCTGTGGTTAAAAATGGAGTCATTGCAGAGAAAGGAAAGCATGATACTTTGATGAATATCAATGATGGAATTTATGCCTCTTTGGTAGCCCTACACACAAGTGCTTCATCATAGAGAGCTACTTTTGTATTACTCTGCCCATGTTTATAAGAAAGAAGTATCCCATTAGTATAAGATGGGCTTAATGACTAAGATCATCCTATTTTCGCTATTGTGTGCATTTTTCAATTTTAAGTATCTTGTGATTGTAATGTGTGAGTTTTCTTTTAGAACACATGGAAGAAAAGGTTTTTGTATAGTTAGTCTTTAACTTGAAGAACACAGTTCACTGTAAGTTGTTACAACTTAAATTGCTAGCATTGTAGGCTAATTTTGATGTACTATTCCTTAAGAACATACAATTACAAACAAGTTTTTGTTTATAGTTTTTAAAAAAAATGAAAATGAAAACAAAAAAACAGAAAATATGTGTTACCAAACAAATTTTGGGTTAATTTTACTTCTATCCCTTAAACTATCATAACTTTTCTATTTCATTATTAAACTACCAATTTCATTTATTTTACTACTTAGAGTTTCTAAATTAAGCTAATGTGGTCTAGTTGGAGAGGGTTATCCAAATCAGTAACCTTTAAAACCTAATTTGATGGGTAAGAAATATAATTTCAAAATTTGAATAAATTAAGCCATAAATCCAAACATTCATTTTTCTTTCTCATTGGTTTGAAACGAGAGAAAACGGGTGTTTTGTTGTAGAGTATAAGTTGTTTAATGGGTTGGGCTTGTCTCCAAACCATTGTGGACTTTACAAGTCCAATTTGGGCAGTGGACCCACTATGGGCCTTAATGTGATGATTTGATTCGTTTGATAATTTTTTTTCCTTTGGTGTGTAGATTAATATGATTTTTTTTTTGGTGCGTGGATAATCTATACATCGAAGCCGAAAAAATTAACGGATCAAATCATCAAAAGTGGGACTGTAGTATGGCTGCCGACCTGAATTGGACAGAATTCTTGTTTAATAAATAGTGTGAGTAAAATGACATGTGTTTGGTTGTATAATTTAGATTCTCCAAATTGTAAAAATGCCTTGTATTCTTCTGGGAATTGCAGTAGCCATTTATAATGATGAGCTGTGAATAGTTCCTGCATTGTGATGGATGCATCGATATTATATTACGTATGTACCCGTAGTTATATTCATGTATTTTTATTTATTTTTGTTAGAGTACTTGACAAACTCAAGCATTGTCTGTTCTCTTAGGCCATGTTTGTTTGGGTGGACATGAGCTTGGGATTGGACTAATAGTACAATAAAATTATTAATCCGATATTTTGTTAAACAATTGAAGTACGGATTAATTATTTTAAAGTTGACTATTAGTTAAGATAGGATACATAATCCAACAGATTGGTAGTCCTATGACTATTAGTCATGGGAATACTAATCCAGTCCGTCCAAACAAACATGGCCTTATTCTATTGCAGTTGGAGTAACTAAATTACCAAGTCAAAATCACAACCGAAAATAATACTGGCAAACATGCAAACCAATAGGGAAGCTTCCATCATTGAGTATGCATTGACCTGAAGCATTTAGCCTTTGTCTGTTAGTGTTTGATATTGATAAGATTCCAATCATCTTTCTCTCTCTGTCTCTCTATCTTTTAGTACTAAAAAAGTAGCATACTGGTGGTTATGGGGTAGTTGTTATTAATATTTAATTTCTGCGCATTCATTTTGGACCTTGATTTTACTCTCAGTCCTGGACTACTAGATTTGGCGTTAACTACTTGCCCCTATTCCAATGTCCTGTCCCTTATCTAAGCATTATCGTTTCCATAAGCCATAAGGTGCTGACCATTGTGTATGCATGCTTGTTGGTGTAGGAGGCGTATTAAAATAACAGTATCAAGTATCAGATATGTGTTGGTATAGGAGGCATGTTTAAATAACAGAATCACATATGGGGTGATGCTATGGTTGTTGGTTGTATAATTTGTAAAAGCCAATCGCAGAGTGACACGTGGCACCTAAAGGGCAATGGGGGGAAATTAATGCAAGTCTCCAATCAAAGACGGACACGTGGCTGTTCGTATTGGTAGTATCGGATCTGTATGACATCGGAATAGTCAAGAGATGCGAGATGATGTAACCCAACGGTTACTTACAATTCAAATTTAAATTCAAAAGGGAAACTTAACTGTAAAAGAGGTGTAGTGAGAGCTAGTTAAGCAAGGCCATGACCAGAGATCGTAGAAGTGTATTTCGACTGTTAGAAGGCCACTTCGACAGGTACCACTAACGAGTATAAATAGCAGAGAAGGTTAAACAGAAAGACCCCCAGACTCAGATCCAGAAACCAGTTTATTTACTTCATGTTCTTTCCAGTTTTACATTTCCAGTTCTCTACATTTTCGGCACTTCAATTCCTATATTGCACTTCATTTCTTAGGAGTAGTTTTTCAGTAGTTTGTTGTTGTGAACCTCGTCGAGGCTGGGTCATTGTAATTTCATTGTAAGTTTTCATTTGCTTAATCAAATTCGATTTCTGAATTATATTTACTTGTTACTATTCATAATTTTTTCCTAAACAAGCCACCAGTAAAAGTTCTCTTCATTAAGGCTGAAAGAACTTCAATACAATCGTTTGATAATTGGTTGGCAATTATAAATTCTGTAAGGACTATTTGATCCTTGCTGGCACGCTTAAATTTACACTATTAACCCTTGAAAGCCAAAAAAACCAACATATATTTTTAGCACGCCAGTGGGACTATTAAAAATAAGATTCACATCATGATTAGTAGAAGCCAATCTTTGATCGGACAAGCGGGGGTGCTCAATTCATGACATTTCCCTCTCGTACCTAAGTTCTCGAGGCAATTTTGGCGATAACAGACACGTGGCCTTTGGCACGAGTCATGGGTTTCCTAAATTTCCCAAAAACATTTAGGTGGCGACTTTGTATTTGGCAAAGCAGTCCATTTTTGACATTTTTTTTTCAAAATCAATTTTCCAACAGATTTGTAGGATTTGGACTCTTTGGTGTTTATCTATTTCACATTGCATTTATGAGATCAGATTCAAAACTGCGGGACTTCGATACTGTAGGGCTTATTCGTCTTTCGAAAGGAGCGCGAAAAGTCGAGCTACAGTTGGACTCTCTCTGAAATTGATCAATAATAGAGAATGAAAAATCAATTCCAAAAATCAAAAACAACTTCACTGAGCTGACCTCTCTCTCAAATTGATCAAAATTGAAAATAAAAACCTAATTCAAAATATACTCGAAAAATTAATATGAAATCGGAATCCTTACATACAAATCAAATCAGAAATCGAAATCCATATGGAATCTCCATCAAAACATACCTGATTCAACTCCACTGGAAATCAAAACAAAAATAATCAACATCACTTTAACATCTACACAATCACAGCAATCTCCATCGTCAAGTCCACTGTAACACTGTAATAACCCGACCCTTGTATGTGTTTCTGGCATAATTTAGTCCCTTGTTATGTGCATTTAAATGTTTAATGTGAAATCTCGAGAGAAATTTCGTTTAAGCACATGTCTCTTATAAATTGAAACCTCTATCTGCTTGGTAAGGAAAGCATCTGTCACAATTATAATGATTGAATCAGAAATTAGAAGCCTTAGAGGCTTAATTACCTGAAATTGATTTTACATCTGAGATCAGCATAATTTTTAAGTAATAATAAGTATTTTTGTAGAAATTTGATTAGGGATGATTAAACTGATTAAATTTTGTCTTTACTCACTTTTAGTGTAACGACCCTAAAATCCGTATTAAATATTACCTTTACAGCCTTATGGGTTAATGCATTTTAATTTAATGATATGTGTTTAAATTGAGGAATTAACTGTTTGGCCACGGCTTTAAAATTGAAATTACCGACCTTTACGGGTTCAGAAATCACAATTGAGGACTTGGATGTGTTAATTGAAATTTTTAGAACTATTGGGGAAACTTAATTGGAAATCTAATTTGTCTGATTCGTTAATGTAGATTTGGGTGGTTAACTTGGTATTGCAAATTGAAGGCCTTAGAGGCTTCAGAAACCAGAACAGGGGGCATATTTATGATCATCACAATTTTTAGAATCATCTGGAAAGTTTAATTGAAATTTAATTTTGCGCGATTCGTAAGGCCACGTTTGGCTCTCCTTGTGTTAAGCTTAAGTATGTGATATATACATATATGGATAGGCCATGTGAGTTGGGGGTTTTATCATTTTGAAGTCAAATAAAATATCTAAGGGAGAGGGAGAGAGAGAACCGTGAAAGAGACAGAGAGGGACAGAGGATCATCCATGGAAGCATGGAAAATTGAAGAGATTAAAGGGGAAAAACAAGGAATTAAGGTAAAGTATGTGGCTTCAACTATTATCTTTGTAAATAATGCATCTACTACATGAAATCAATGATGGATTTGGGGAAAATTAATATGCAAATGAACAAGTGTGTTGGGTTATGAATGAAATGAGTTAAACTCAAGGAATTGAACCTTGATTTCTTTAAATTTGCTTGAATTGGGTTCAATCTTAAGAATGATTCATGGAATACCAAGTTGTGGTGTGAAGATCAACCATGTGTAAGATGTATTTGTATGATTTTGGGGTATATATTATAGAAGCTTGATTATATAGAAGATGAGACTTGAATTTCTATTTTTGAGGCAAAGATTGATTTGTTTAAAATGGAATTGCACTTGATTGATGTTAGTTTATCATGTTATGAGATAATTTTACATGTTTTTGAGTGATTTATGTTAAGAACCAAGTTTAAAAATGGAAAAACCAAGTGTTGGAGAAAAAAGAGCCATTTTCGGACAGCAAACTGCCCAGAGCCGCACGTGCGGCTCTGTTTCCCGCACGTGCGGGAGACAACTTTGTCCAGCCAACTTTGAATAAGCATATCTTTTTTCTCGAGACTCCGTTTTGAGTGATTCTTGAGCCTAAAATTAAGCCCCAGAAGTCTAGTTTCCAATGGCGGTAGTCTCATTTCCAAATTCTAAATACATAAATAGTTATGCCCAAATTAGTGACAACTGTTCACTTTTTGTCAACCAATTTTGTACCATTTCTTCACCTAAACCATTTCCTATCGACTTCTCTTGTTTTCTGAGACATGGATTATAACTTATTAAGGAATAATGAGCTTGGTACCACCATGGCTAATTGATCGAATGATCAAAGAGAATAAGTAAAGGATCGAGTATAATCTCATATTATGTATTGTGCACTGTGCTGTAGGTCGAAACGAGGACACCGTCCCATTGCTACCGGGAGCCGATCATTGTGAGTAGCAGTACAGAAATGTATATTTTATTTACTGTTGATAATTATTGTCACTAACACTCTGTTCTTCGTAAGTGGTACACAAACATTTATGACGATTGGAAATCAGTGTGAACTTATATGAACATTGAAAGATGTGCGCACATCAGTATGACTTTGGAATCATTTTGTTCTGTCAATAACAAATATTGACCCTCTATTATTTATTAGCATACTACGTTACTTCTTAAAGAATAAATGGAACTTATGTTCATCCTTGAACAATGGTATCTGTATGAATCCAAGGTTATTCTGTTATGTTACGTATGGACCTGAGATCGTTTAGAATCTACGACATGAATGCAAAGGTTTAACATCATTATGTAACCCACGTTAGAATGTAAATTGTTTTGTCTTTGTTAAGCGTACTGTAATGACATGATATGGCAAGAAATGTTCTATTTTCTGATATGTTACGTTTTGAATTAATGAATGATTATCCATATATATATAAGTATTCATGGCATCCTTAGCACAAGGCCCTTATCCGAGGGTAAGAATACCGTGGTCTTATGGCCCTTGCTCGGGGGTAATAATACCGTGGTTCAAGTATGTTACAAGTTCCTGGTACCGAAGGTTCCGTTATGGAACTAACAAGTATGCCCTATATTGATTTGTTAGCGCTATTGAAAGTACCAAATATAATCAAGTATGAACTATGATTTCTGTTTATGATTTAAGCATAATTAAGAATATGTATGAATTTGTTCTGTTTATCTGTTCCAGTTATGCTATGCTCTGACATGATATGGATGGTTCGGTCTTTAAGACCTAATGATTTCTGGTATGGAACAAAGTGTTGTACGGAACTAAGTGCTGCAATGCGAGCCATCTCTAGAATTCGTACGAGCCACCTCTTGAGTCCATACATTTGTGAACTGGGCTTAAAGCCGATGTGAAAGTTATGAGGCCTTTGGCCGTTCTGTGAAAGTTATGAGGCCTTTGGCCGTTCTGTGAAAGTTATGAGGCTTATAGCCGTTCTGTAACATCTGTGAGGCCTATGGCCAATTTGTGACATCTGGGCCTATGGCCATTCTGTATGGTCTGTTAGTATGAAACAAAGTGCTGCACAGAACTAAGTGCTGCCATGCGAGTCACCTCTAGAATCCATGTGAGCCACCTCTTGAGTTCATATATGCATGAAAAGGGCTTAATGCTATCCGTTTAAGGGCTTAATGCCGTTTTGTTTAAGGGCTGAAAACCATAGGCCTAAGGCCATTATGAAAATAATTACAGGATAAAACTAACTATATGTCCTACGCCCTTATACATGTACATTGTAATTCAAGTTAATTGTTAAATTGTTACGTACTACTATTCACTGAGTTTGGCTCACTTTATGCTATGTCTATTTCTGTAGGCACTCCACCTGGAGGTCAGTCTCAACCCAAGGCATCCGTTCCTCTTATGTCAACCTCAGGGTGTCCAGGCACTTAGATGAAGGCAACTTATTTTATGGAGTTTTGCTAAACTTTTGATTTTGTACCCTGATTGTCTGTCTAAAGAGGAAGTGTATATAATCCTTTTACCTTTCAATGTTTTTGCTGTACGCCCAATCTTGAGGGCTGGGTCTGTATATGTATGTGTGTAAGCATATAGCTAAATTCTCAGATGCACGTCACTGTATGTTTATTTGCCTTACATTCCGTTAGTGATCCTGGCATGGTAGTTATAGCTCAATGGAGATGGTTTTCTGTTATTTTAAAATATTAATGCTTCCGTTCAGGCCCCATATCTCATATATATATCAAGTTAAATGTTCGTTTCTGAAGTGGTGATGCCCAAACTTTTAGGGACGGATTTGGGGTGTGACAAACACCTACAAAATCCCTACGAAATCTCCTACAAAATCTCCATCGTCAAGTCCATTCCCGCGAAACCTCCTACAAAACAGCAATAAAATGTTCAGTTTGCCAAAATCCAAAACAATATATGTTATAAAGAAGGGTAAATTTGGTATTTTATAACCTAAAATAAGATTGAAGAACCTTAGGTATCAAAAAATATTATTGCGGACCTCTCGTCTTACTAAAAATTAGACAAGAATCTTAGATAAATTTTTCCATCATTATAATATCTAATTCATCAACGTCTCAACAATACTTTTATTTATTTATAAAAATATACCAAATATATTTAACGATAGAGTATATACATCTCAGTGTAATTTATTAAATATATATATATATATATAAATGATTTCAGGTGATAATCATCTAAAATCTATCCATATTGAACTTTATATTTTTAAATAGAGATTTTATAATAAAAAGATATTCTAAAATAATAATGATTTTATAGTGGATAAGAATTCGTACATGATAGATTGGAGGAAAATAATTTCCATCTATCTTTTCAATTAAGGAAATTCTATTTACACACCATTAATCCTCTTAGCACACATTATTAACAAATTATATTTATATTTCAATAACATCTTCAAATGAAAATACCATTAAGGATAATATGGGATGTATTCTATCCATTCAAAAATTTCATATATAAAAACACAAAACATGCTTCACACACCATCATCATGTATAGAGATATAAACATATCCAAAATAAATTAGTTTTACAGATTTAAGATTTAAGAATATTGAAATTAATTGGTTTTAAAGATTTAAGGTTTAAGAACATTAAAATCAAGGGTCATGCTTAAGTGTGCAACCCCCTTAAGGTTGCACACCATATGCAACCCAATTGTTAGCCGTTAGCTAACAATAATTGATCAAGACCATTGAATTGTTTAATCGTGAAAAAGTTGAAACCGGGGCAACCGGTTAATGCTTGTATTTGCATGATTGCATCCCACTCACTCTCTGTATTTCGTCTCTATCTCTCTCTGTTCTCCTCTCTGTGTAAGGTTGAGTCAGTGTAACCGTTGATTTCCATTACAGGGAGAAGCCCCTGTTGGGTTCGTTCCATTGACGAAGCTCTGTAGGGAACAGTATAACGGGCGATTTCCAACAACAACGTAACTAGAAGGCTGTGTTGATTCCATTGCTGAAGTGAAGCCCTTCTCTCCAACTAGATATGAGGTATGGAGCTGTCTCCCTCTCTCTGTCTCCCTCTCTGTCTCTCTGGCCCGTTCACTTCAGCTATTTTCCCTCAACTAAACCCCCATCCTAACTTCAACCGCTCTACGCTTCGCTCCAACGGAAACCCCTCCATTGGCAGCTAACCTTTCTCTTTCTCTTTCTCAAGCGAGTGTTTGTGTTTGCACAAACAGGTAAACCGTGTGAAAATGTCATTTGACATAACTATGAATGGTTTTTTTTTTTATTAAATTTAATCCCGTGCATAGCACGGGTGATATGCTAGTTTGGACTAAAGTGAAGTGAAAACTACAGCTCTCTTCTTGGCATACTTACATCGGATTATTTTCTAATAAGATTAAAATGATCAAAACTAATATAAATAATGTCTAAATACAAAGATAAATAAGCTAAAATATATATTTTAGTATAATATATCTATATCTATACTATATATTAAGCAAAAGGGGGTTTCGAACCCCCATGGCTGTGGGAGCTCCAATATGTCAATCCTAATTTTCTAATTTTTTGTTTTTATTTAAAAAAATTAACCTCAGCATTTATTAACTTCTCTCAACCCACAAGACTTTTTGACTTCTCTCATAATTACTGTACATTTTCCAAAACAAATAATTGGTATATTAAAAAAAATTTAAGCAAATATAAATATCTATATCTA